CTTTCTCATTATAAGAATTACTCATCTATAACAGATTATATTATCTATTATATTTAATCAGTAGCTTATACTCTCTCTAATAGAAATGTTATTCTTATTGAAAAGTGTTTTTTCATTCTTTATCAGATTAATGAAGAATCTCATTACTAATTTAATAGCTTATATCATAGATATAAAGATTGAATATATTATTTTTATCTGAATACAGACTTTGTAGAATAATAAAGCTTATTAATTAATAATTCTCATTTCTAGATATAAATCTACTGTTATTTTTACAATATTTATAAGATTTAGATGTTCTAGCTTTTAATATCATTGTATTATTATAAGTTCTATAATCTTTGTATTATTTCTTTCAGATAGTGTTAATATTATATCATCTTTCACTTATAATATATTTACAGATTCAAAATCATTATTAAGTATAATAAATCAGATTAAGTCTCTGTATATAATCAGTCTTTTCATCTCATAGATATTATTCTTATTTAATCTTGCTGTAAATGAGAATATACAGTCAGAAGATATAATTAATATAGTATGATTATTCTTATATATTAACTGCTTATAGATATAACTCTGATATATAAGCTTACTTATACTCATAAGATTTACTTCTAACTTCAGAATATAGTAGATATTATTTAACAGTATATTCACTTCTTTCACTGAAATCTTTATATCTTCTATAGCTGCAGCAGAGATCACTATTTCATCTATTATTTTCAATATCACTTTTATCTTCTAAGGTTTTATTATGACAAGATCTCTGTGAGATGTGATATAAGTGTCTGATTCAGAGTCTAGAATTCAGATATCTTTTTCTATCTAGTCACTTACATAGATCTTTTCTTTAATGCAAAATACTTGCTTTATAATATTATAAACAGAAGTAGTATCTGTATTCTTTATATTCTTATCTTTATTCTTGTTTCTATTTGTATTGAAGTTTGAAGAATGTTTCTCAGAGTATTTCTTTCAATAGTCAGTCTGAATATAATCAATCTTTTGATAATAATAGCAGATTCTTGCATCATTATCTCTATATTCAGATTTGAATTCAGTATTCTTATTCTTATTATTATCTTTCTCTTTATTCTTGTCTTTCTTATTCTTATCTTGTATATTATTAATAGAATTTCTAAATATATCAGTATTTACTTCATTTATAGCAGAGAGCTGTAAAAGAATATTATAATACAGACTTATAAAATCATTCTCTAAGAATTAAGTATTATCTTTGTTAATTTAATTTATTCAATTTCTTATAAATAAGACTCAATCTCTGTTAACTTCTATAAGCAGTCTGTTAAAAAATATGATATCTGAGATCTTATATTCTAAACAGATATAATTAGTTCTTATAGTAATTAGATATTCAATGAAAGTACAATCTGAGTCTTTTAACTTAGTAGTCATACTAATCAGTTTCTTAAATAAATAGATTCTGTGAATAGCAGATCTCTCAGAAAAGTTATTCTCTATAATAGTTTATAGAGTATAAGTAGATAACTTGAATTTCTTAAGTATAGTGAAATAAGTCTTAATCTGCAGAATAATTACAGATTATATATAATTATATAATCAAAGATTGTATTCTTTTCAGAAATATTATATATTTATAATAACATTCTTATCAAGATTATTATCTTTAAGAATACTATTAGTTTCAGACTATTCTATAGTTAAAAGAATTTTCTCTCTTTATATTAAGTAGTTAATGAATTCAGTGAGAACTATTAATCTTTTAATAAGTCTTACTTAACTTCTGAATTCTTCAAGAACTTTTATTATAATAGATATCTTTTCTTTCTATTAAAGATATTCTGTCAGATCTGCTTTTATCTTATTATTTATAGAGTCACTTCTACTGATCTTCATCTACTTAATTTCATACTAAAGTCTTGTAATTTTAAGTCTTATATAAGTCTTCTCACTCACTGAGCTATTGTCATTTCAGTCACTTAAGTCTCTTATATTATCTGATATCTCACTGATATCTTTAATCAGATCTTTATATATATTGAACTTATCAGACTGTTCTTCTATGATGATTTTATTCAGCTTAAATATCTCTGAGACAGTCACTTTTCAGTTCATTGCAGATGTTGATAAGCTCATACTTAATTCTTCTTATGCTTCAGATGTTTGTGAATTTCTTCTTCTATATATTAATATGTAATCCTTCATTAAGTCAGGCTTTCCACCTGATCTCAGGTTCATCATGAGTTCAATTAATCAATAAATCATCTAGGCATGCTTGTAATGATGTGTGGAGATGTCAATTTAGCATGTTGTTGTGGTTATTTGTTGCTTATGAAGGGCTTCATAACCTCTTGAAGGATAATGTTATTGTGTTGTGTGTGTGTAATCTATCTACGCGAGTTACACTAAATGGATAGGTTGGGGTGGCACGTGACTAGGGTAGGTGTAGTAATCACCAACATCATCAACTCCAATTTCACATCAACTGCAATAGCTACCCCCCTATTTCAATCCAATCTGATCTCTCTCACCCGGCCAGCTTCATCCCCCGTCTTATCTTGTTCGAAAAACAAAAGACAAATATGCTCAGAAAACATCATGTATGTAGGACCTCCCCGAACAAAGTAACAACATATAACAAAACCAATTTTTGAAAAACAAGTTATCAAAAGGCCACCACCCGCCCCATACATGACATCAAATTTCGCATACAAAAAAAAAAAAAAAAAACGCAATCACAAAACAGCCAGCCACATAACTACACCAATACCAATTTCAATCCATTCCCCCACTCCCCCATTTTTCTATATAGGTATGTATATTGCATTGCCGGGGGCCGTTATTGATGTCTCCTTTCCTTAACATGCCCCTCCCCTGCACTAAAAGATCATGCATGCAAAATCAAAAAAAGAAAAAGAAAATGCAAGCCTCCCTCCCGGTCAGTTGTAAACGGCAACAGTGACAGTAACAAAACGAGCAAGATGAACAGAACGAAAAGAAAAGCAGGGGAGAATCCACCTGATGCATGATACACTACACGTCTTGATGTGTATAGACAGATATGTATCACCACCTCCACCAAAATATATAGGTCTGCCTATCCCAACAACCCCCCTTTCCCCCTCCCTACTACTTCTTTTCTCAAGCTTACATATATCAACCAGAACGGAAAACAGTACCAAAAAAGCTCGGACAAAAAAGCAACCAGAAGTCAACACAAGTAGCCTCCGGAATTCGTCAAGGGCGACAACAAAAAAAAGTAACGATGTTAAAAAGAAAAACAAAAAAATACAGAAGGCCTCCCAAGACATAGGAAATTTAGACAGAAAAAAACAAAATAACATGCTGCAAAAGCGTTCAAAAAAAAAAAGATGGGTGGGTTTGGGGAAAACTAAAACACCCGTGGCCATGGACCAGGTTATTTTACAACCGCAAAGGAATCCTGGAACTTTGAGTTGAGTGTTCTGTTGTTGGCGTACACACATACGCACACACGCGCGCGCGTATTTAGGTAAAAATACGATTGAAGCATGCTCAATTTTTTGTTTGCCCTTCTCTTTCTCTGGTAGTTAGGTTGGTGGTTGGTTCGGCGCTGGTTAGTTTTCCTGGTCTTTTTTCTCTTTTCTCTCGTCTTTTCCTCTTTTCTTTTCTTCTCTTTCTTTTTGCTTTGTTTTTGGAGTTCTTAACAGAGTTAAAGGAGGGGGGGGGTAACAAAAAGTAATGTTCGGGAGTAGGGAGGGAAAAGGGGTGAGAGAATAGAATATTTTGGAAAAAAGATAAGAAAAATGTGATTAATGGGTCGCCCCATGTAGTTTATATATGCAACGAAAAAAACTCGTTCAGTGGTTTGGTTTGTGGAAAGGAAAAGGGAGGAAACAAAGGGGGGGAAATGGAGCTGTTAAACAAGGAGGAAAACAAGTGGAAACACAAGAACCCCAGAAAAGAAATGAGGGGGGCAAATTTCGCAACGGAATATAATTTCATTTTCATTCAAGGGAGACGGACGAATGAAAAGAGTTGAAAAAGCATTTGTTTGTGCAAAGAGCTTTCAAAAACAAGACAACAAGCAGGCGGGCCAAATTTTTGACAAAACGTTGAGCGAGCGAGTGTTCAAAATGAGTCAAGTAGAAAACACCCAGGTCAAACATACAGCCAGCGCCATTCTTTGTCCGTGCGCGGAGGGGGAAAAGGGGGAGCGGGCAGGCGATGCTCAGCCAAGGAGCAGATATTGCTGCGCAGGAGAATACGTTTGTCGACGCTCACTAGAAACTCTGATCATTTTATAAATCAGAAGCCACCGGTCGTTGCTTCGATATCAATTCGCAGGTGAATCTCCGGAAGGAGGCTTTGCAGTAGCAAGCCGTCAGCCGTGTTTCGAATCGGAGGCGCGCTTGAAGCCTACGGAATGCAACACTTCCGTTCGATCAGCGGAACCCGGGTTATCATAAGTAGCCGGGATATCACCCAGACATATGCTCTAGGATTTGGCCTTCCCACTCCCTTGCGCCTGCCAGTTAACCTGCTCTATTCTGTGGTTGTCAGAATGATTGCGCAGGGCAAGACCATAGGCGCGTTATCCGCTCGTCCCTAACCAACCCCTCTCCTCGTGGGGGTTATACCCATTCTATTCGAAGCAGCCTTACCCCGCCGCTAGACTTCTCGACATCGTACCCCCTGAGTGTGAAAGGTTTATATAGGGGCCCGACATGTTGAAAAACCCACCCATCTCGATTAAAAATATTGTTAAAAGCAGCAAAATCGTAGTAGCAAAAAAAGGAGATCGTCGTGACCAGCACGATGACATTCATGATCATCCCTTCCTTTCCATCTTATTTTTTTTCGTCTTTTTTTTGTTTTTTAATTTATTTTCGTCTTCAGTGTCAATAAGTGCACCTCTTTAATCCTCATTCATAATTCGAATTGCGTTTCTCTTCTACTCATAATTCCCATTGATTGTCCATAACGTATGCTCTAGTTCATCGCCACCCGGGTTTTAATTTGTTTGAAGTAGGCTAAACCCTCCGGTTTAGGGCATTGAGCATATCGCTATCTGTAGAACTTCGTGTGCCTTGAGTATCTGGGCCCAGCATTTCCCTCACACTCAACCCACGGCTACCAGATGAGACGGTTGTTTGACCGGGTGGTGGGGTTCGAATTGGGATGGACGGCGGAGGATGTTGCGGTTGGATGGGTGGATATGGCAGATTGGACGAGGTAGACCCGTGCGGAGAAGAGGAGTGTCGATGCTCGAATGAGTATTGGGAATGAGGCGACGAACGTCTATCGTACGGCGCTTGGGCTGTATGGCTGGGGTATGCGGTCCCAGACACAGCCGCTGAGACGGGAGGGAGTGTGGTAGATTCAGAGTAAGAATATCCTTCTCTTGAATCACGCGAGATCATTGAGGATCTCTGTGTAGAAGAATGTGAGAAATCAGAACTCGAGGCCGAAACGGGGTCGCGGGAATGATGGGGAGGAAATGGAGACTCGTCGGAGCGGGGACGTTTGCGACTCACATGATCCGGTTGCAACGGGGGAGGCTGTAAATGAGGGGGGGGAGGGCGGTCGTCGACGGGCGGCCTGCCATAAGCATGAGGTGGATATAAACTTTGTGGAGGAGGGAGAGGTCCATCTTGTGGATGTTGTGGTGCCTGCGGTGGAGGAAGCGGTTGGCCATGTGCACCATACAATGGTATAGCATCAGCTCGAGGACCACCCCGTGGTGCCGTGCCGCGAAAATGGTTGTAGACTGCTTGAGCAGGGACAAAGGCTTGTGCTTGTGACGAAACCGGCGTGAACATGCATTCCTGATTAAAGCGAACGCAATTACTGCATCGTCCATCCTGGGAGGACTCGAATCCCGAACATCGAATCTACAGGCAAACGGAGCAAGGGTAAATTAATTTTAGCTCTGTTATACTTTATTATTTGACATAAAATGTTTTGGGTGCAATGGACAAGGCGTAAGTTGTAAACTGGAACAAGAGAGACTAACCTTCCGTCTCCTACAGTATCGGCAGGCTATCGCAGTTCGTTGTCTTGGAGCGGCAGCCGGGTATACCACCAGGGGCGGAGCTGGGGGTGGATGACCATACATCTCGGGAGGACGCTGGTACGCCCCATGTGGTGGCGGGAGCTGGTAATCCTGAGGTGGGTGCTGAATCTGTGGCTGTATGGTGGCCATAGTAGACGGAGGAGGATATTGGTAAGACTGTTGAGTGGGGCGGGCCTTTTAGGTTTATTTCCCTTTTGGGTCAGAATGGCGTTCCAAATTTAAAAACCAAAAAGAAAATATAAAATATAAAAGTCGGCCAGCAGAAAGCGAAGTAAGAAGGAGCAATAACGTATAAATGAAGGGCGTTAAAACAAAATAAAAATAAAAATAAAAATAAACAAGTTAATTTGTACCAGCGAAGGGAGGATATAAAAACAAAGCGTTCAAAAACACCAGACGCAAGCAAATGTAATGGCGTTTGGTGGGGGTGGGCAGAGGAGAGAGAGAGAGCAAGGGAGGGATGGCGGTGATAGGCAGGAGGCAGGCAGGCAGGCAGGCATGCAAGGAGGAAGGGAGTACGGACAGAATGTTGTGACGAAGGAGGATAATCAGGCTGACCAGAGGACCATGAAGGCGGTGGATACTGTCCCTGGCGGTTGGGGTCGTTGGACATTTGTTGTGGCCGGGTGGAGGTGGAGGCAGGGGGGTAGAGGAGGAGGAGTAGGATGAGGAGGAGAGGGAAGAGCTATAGCTGGAAGTAGGCGGCGCCGGGCTGCAGCAGCGGCAGTGGTGCGGTATGGTCGACGACGATACGGGAGGGCTTCAGGTCCCGTATATAGATTGGCCTGGACGGACCTATGCGTCGTCGGTGCGTCGGTTCGTGCGTGCGTGCACGCTGCAACAGCAAGCAAGCGGGCGCAGGGATGGGGGAGGCAGGCAGGGGGCTGATCAGCTCCCTACAAAAAGCAGACGTCACAGCGCGCGGGATGGTCTGGACCGGGATCAGGACCAAATCAAATGGACGGCGCTTCTGCTGTGTGATGTCTTTTATGTGGGCATGGATGTGCCAGTTACAAGCACGATCGGTGAGACTCGGCAACTCGCATAGCCCTTGGTGTGGGCCGGCAAAGCTGGTTTCGGCGAGGAGAAGAGGAGAAAAGGAGAAGAGGCGGCAAAGGGCGGGCAGGTTTTTTGATGGCCACCACCACCACTACTGCTACCACTGGTTTATATTTATATTGTATGCGGACCGGTCTCGCTTTTTGGTTTTGTTTTGTCGTTTCTTTTCTTCCTTCTTATCCTTTCCTTATACGCGTTCTGATTCCTGATGGGGTAACAGGGAAAGATTGACCTGACCTGCCGGACGGGAGAACCGATGAGGGCGGTATTAAGGTTAAGACCGGCGCAAGGTCCTAGGCAACGAGGAATAATGAGGAATAATGAGGAATATCTGAACTGTCCTGTCCGTCCTTCGTCTGTACCGTGCCCGAGACCGAGACCGGACGCCGTTTTGAGTGTCACAAAGGAGTGTCGGGATGTGTGTACGAGTGGTGGTTTGCCTGTCTGTCTGTCTGTTTGTTTGTTTGTTTGCCTTCTTTTTTTATTTTATTTCTTTTGTAACCCCCCTTTCTGCTGTTTATGCCGTTCTCTCTTCAGCCACAAGGAAAAAAAATAAAATAAAATAAAATAAAACAACAATACGCTTGTGTCTGGTCTCCCCGGCCAGAATGAAGATGGTGGCGGTCTGGGGTGGTGGTAATAATGAAGAACAATACCAACTAAAAGAGCGCCGAGGAAAACACAAGGGAATAACAGAAAAGAAACCAGTAAAACGGGAAACGGTAAATACAAGCAACTAACCTAGGACAAGGTGGGGAAACGGAGGGGAGAGAGAGAGAGAGAGAGAGAGAGAGAGAGGAAGAGAGCGTTCAGAGGAGAGGAGTGTGTAAGTGATACAGCGGACTAGGAGAAAAAAGGAAGAAGTGAAGGCCAAAGGAGAGAAAAGAAGAAGAACAACAAGAAAGGAAAAGAGGATATAGTGTGCAGTGAGAGAGAAAAGTTGTAGATATCCCTTGGGGGGGGAGGGGGGGTTTGAAGAAGAAGAAGAAGAAGAATAAGAGAGGAGGAGGAGGAGGAAGAAAGAGAACGAGGCAAGAGAATTAAAAGACACGGCGGACAATCGACCTAACCTTCGATCTGGAGGCCATCAATTAGTCGCCTTCTTTTTCTTTTTCTTTTTCTTTTTCTTTTTTTTTTTCCGTCTGTTCTTTTTTTGCTTTCCCTGGTTCCCTTCGTTGTTTCTTCTAAAAAGTATCTCCACTTGGCCCGGGAATTTAGCATTTTGTCTTCTTCTTCTTCTTATTATTATCATATCATTATTCGCAGTATTATTATTTGTCCCTTCCGGAACGGGTCCCTCCCCCCTCCCCATTATTCCTGATAGTCCAAAATAGTTGGAGATAGCTCCTCATCCCGCGGGCAAATAGCATCAGCAAGGGCACCTTAAGGTTGGGACTCGCCGGCTTGCTGGATCTTCTGCCCGTGGAACTCGTTAGTTAGGCTTTTGCTTCTGGGTAAGGGAAGGGAAAGGGAAGGGCATCGCAAACCATGGACACTGCAAAACCCCCTTTTTTTTTGTAAAGTTTCTATTTTGTAAATAGTTAATAGTTCTTTTATTCCATAACTAATTATTGTAAAAGTAACTAGATAGAAAAATAAATGCCTTCTCTCCCTACTCTACTCTACTCTCCCTAGCTAGCTACAGTTACTGGATTATTTATTACGCAGCGTAAATCTCCCCGATGAGTGCAAATACTCTTCTTGGTGCGTGCCTGAAGAAAGAACGGGAAAAATACACGCAGTACCCAGTGAAAATTACAGCCCTTTGTATCCCATCCGCCCATTCGAAGGCTATATATATATATATATATATATATATATAAATGACTGGCTGGCTGGGCGGAAGGCGGAAGGGAAGAGGCAAGGCACGCATTCCCGTGCAGCATTGATCATTGTTCTATCATTATCCTCATCATTATTCTCATCACTATAACCATCGTCATCATCATCATCATCATTATCATCATCATCAAGATTCAACAGCGGTCAGGTCAATCAGTAGCCAAATCAACCAGAGGCAAAAACATACACCAAACTAATACGCCGGATATTTTTTTCCTTTTTCTTTTCTTTTCTTTTCTTTTTTTTCTTTTTTTTCTTTTTTTTTTTTCTTTTTTTTCTTTTTTTTTTTTCTTTTCCTGTTCTTTTCTTTTCTTTTCGTCTCTTTTCATTTTCGCCCCGCCACTGGCCAATGGCGCGCCCTGTTTGTCGGGACCATAGCTGCCGAGCTAGATGTCCCGCCCAGGGCAAGGTAGGCAAGGTAGGGTAGTAGGCAAGGCAAGGCAAGGCAAGGCAAGGCAAGTAGTGGAAGTGGAGTTAGGTTAGTTCCCTATCCTATCCTACCTACTGGGAAATCCCCCATACATACATACAACCATACAGCGTACAACACTGTATCTCCCGATACCCGTATCATACAGATACAGATACACTCTCGGTACAGCTCAATATTGTAATGTAATAATACAGTTGTTACTACTTATCTGATCCAGCTGATAGCTACAGCCATTAGACCAACCATGGTGCCTACAAACGCAACTTCAACTTCAACTTCAACTGCTGCTGCTGCTGCTGCTGCTGATGATGATGATGATGGCTTATCTTCTCGCTATAGCGGCGGCGGCGGCGGTTGTTACTTCCATGGGTCATTCTTCAGTAATCAACCTCCTTTCCCTTCCCCTTTCCCCTTCCCATTCCCACACCCTAACATACCTAACTCGGTTCGTGGGGCCATCGCTTCGGCTTGAACCCGAAGCACAAACCCTGGTTCGAGTGAAACCAGCTCATCGCGCTCGTTGAGCTGGGTGGTGTCAATGTCAATAATTTCTCAGTATTCCCCTAGCAAGTTACTACTAAAAATTTTCTCGTTCTTGAGATTCCAAAGCTCGCTTTGTGCAACCAACTAACTAACTTACGGAGTCCACAAGTATATCCAACTCGCTACAGCTACCCACGCCAGAAAAAAAAAAAAAAGAAAAAACAAAATCCCCCAAGTCGGGCGCACACAAGGTTGGGTCCCGTCGCTAGTCCCAAGTACGACACGTTTAGCCCATTTCTGAATATGCACAATGAGGTCAACGGTTGCTTTAACCCTCCACTCGCTCGGGTCAGGATAATAATTATGCACGATGATGTTGAGTGACGGGGCGGAGAGAGACAGTGTGTTTGTTGTATGCAGCAAAAAAAAAAAAAAAAAAAAAAAAAAAACACTACTTTTTATAGGTTTAGTAGGTTTAGTGTATACACAGTCTTTACAAACAAATTTACTAGTGTTTCGTAGATCTTGAATTTCAGAACTCTATGATGTGCAAGTAGTAGTATTCCTCTAACTTTACATCTCTTACATCTTTAATCTGTATAATCTCATTCTCGGATTCCTGTCGTGACTAAGAGCAAGAGCTGCCAGGTCTGAGCTCCTATCACCTAGATTAGAAGGATCATAAGACAGCCGAGCTTCTGTCAGCCACATCTGACACTCTTCTATGAGAGAAGTCTCAGCTCCTGAGCACTTCAGACTCTCGGAGACCTGAGTATATACTATTACATAGGTCAAAAAGACTATAAAACAGCTGCCTTCTTACTAGCCCGCACCTGGCATCTATTCTTAAAGTGATGGCTCATCTGCATCGCATCTGCATCTGCTCTCAGCTTCAGAGTCAGAGCCTAATCATTGCAATTCCTCTAACTGTAATAGTAAGTAAGCCTGAGATCTCTGAAGAAGCAAGACACTATAATAATATAGATGAGTGCCAGACACAGCTGGCAGAAGCCAGTCATCTTATGATCTTTTTGATCTAGATGATTACTATATAGTATGAACTGCAGAGGAGGCTGTATAGACTCTAGTTGAGAAGGAGAGAGAGAGAGACTTTGATAACTACATTCAAAGACTTAGCAGCTATTGTGTATGTAATATCATGTACAACACTAAATCTGAATGTATATTAATAGCCTAGCTCTGGTAAATATCATTTTTCCTGCTAGGTTTTTTTTTTTTTTTTTTTTTTTTTTTTTTTTTTTTTTTTACCCCCAGTATCAGTATCACATAATCGAAAATCATGAATGATCATATATTTGCTGTCCACCTGCCATCAGCCACCATTCTCCGCTATACAAGATTTACTTACCACCCACCACCACCTCTTCGGCCTGCCAGAAGCTAAAGCTAAAGATAAAAGCGGATAACAGGTCAGAGACATTGAACTTCCTTTAGCTTTTTATTTTATTTTTTATTTTTTTTAGATTTGAGTCAGAGGTGGTGTGATGGTGGGCTTATCATGATAAAGATGATGATGATGATGCTTGATGAGCTGATTGAATGCGCAGATAACTCAATCAACCCGCTGCAACCTGAATAGCAACATGAGATGATTTAGGAAAAAAAAAAAAAAAGGGTGAATGGGAGAGTGAAGAAATTCGGGGTTAAAATAAAATGTATTTTCCCCTCTCTTATTTGGCCGTCTAGCTACTGTAGTTGAGTTATCCGGTACGGCGCGCTGCGGTAGCCGACCGACATGGAGCTGGTCGGTCCGCGATGGATACACCCACTCCATTCCATTCCACTCATGTCCATAAATCCACATCCCGATCCACTGGGAAAAAGGTTAACTATGTGAGATGATGTGAGTGGTTAGTATAGTTAGGGGGGAATTGGGCTTTTTTAAGATTTTTTAAAGACGCTTTTGCTGAGGAGATTGGGGAGGGGTCTAGGCTTTTGATGAAATGTCATGCCTGAGAGAGGGTTGCTTCTTCAGATTTATGTATTAATAATTATTATTATTATGGCGGGGGATGATGAACATTAATAATAATTAGGGCGTTCAAAATGAAGGGGCAATAAATAAATAAATAATAAGGGAAACAAAAAAACAAGCGCACAAGAGCAATTGCCCCTTCTTGATTATTCCAACCAACCAGCCCGAACTACAGTTTAGGTCGAGATGTAAAATAAATTATTACACCACTAGGGAGGCGGAAAAAAAAAAAAAACACTTCCTCCTTCAATCCACCACCGCACCACCGCACCACCGCACCACCGCCTTCCCCCCCCCCCTCCAGCCCCAAACCCAATCAATTCCCAATCAATCAATCAACCTCGAAAAATAACCCTCTAGTCCTCGGGCTCCTCCTCCCAACTTTCCCCTCCCAGGCGAATCACCCTACAAACCCACCCCGCCACTCACCTCCAGAAAACCGGGAAGGGTGACAAAGAGCGGGGGGGCAAAAGAGGGAAGGGGAGGGGAGGAGAGAGAAAGGGGACCAACCCAGCCAGCCAGCCAGCCACTCCATGCTTGCCATGCACATGCATGTATGGATGGCTACGGGTGAATCAGCTCTAGCGATAGTTAAATCCTCTGGTTTTTTTTTTTTTTTTTTTTTTTTTTTTTTTTTTTTTTTTTTTTTTTTGGAAATAATGACTACCTACACGCGTATTTATTATTAGGGGGTAGTTATCAGGTAGGCAGGCAGGCAGGTAGGTATGGTATAGGTAGGGTATGTGATTCCATCTGAGGTCTGTGTTCCCGAGACTACCCACACATTCACATTGGATCGCCCATTGGAATCGTGCGTCAACTTTTGGGGAGGGGTTGGTGAGAGAATTAAAAAAGGAAAAAAAAGAAAAAAGAAAAAAGAAAAAAGAAAAAAAAGAAAAAAGAAAAAGAAAAAAAAGAAAAAAGAAAAAGAAAAAAGGGTAACACGCAGTAGTGTCCGCGTGGATGCATGCGTGTATGCGTGTATTTATGTATGTATTATTATTGCTGATGTGTTGAGTTAATCGGCCAGAGGCTGGCTCAGGGCGACCACTTTCTGACCGCCGCTGCCTGTCCACCTCACATACAGCATACAGCTTGTTTGTCACCCAGTAATAATGTGAGAATCGCCTTTTAACATGGCGATGAGCAATGGCAATGGGCAATGCGATCCTTGTCTTTTTCTTTTTCTTTTTCTTTTTTTTTTTTTTGTTATTGTGTAACTATGGGTGGGTGTATGGCCTATGGGGATGGAATATGTCTTGCTGCAGTACACCGCGTAACAATGTACTGTACTGTATGAACCGAACATTTTACCCAAAGGGGTAAAAAAAATACTAGCCGTATCATATTGAAATATTCAATCATTTTCAGCAGGTTATTTTCAAGCTAGGCAAAATTCCGAAACGCGCATATGGCCACCACCACCCACCAACCCACCAACCCACCCTTCGCCCCTCCCGGGCCGGCGGCCATGTCGCCGTTCAGCTCAGAATGAAGTAATAATAGAGTAAGTTACTCTCTGTACGTACAGTACTTTTGATCCCCTTCCCCACAAATGTGCAAGTGTGGAAGCGAAGATAAATTACCCAAGGATATACGAAGTTCATGTACTGTACATGTACATACATTACATCAATGACAGTTTTCGTTTTCACACGGCCAGGTTTGCGCAGGACGATGGACCCGGGTAGGGCTGAGTGTGTATGTACTGTATCAACGTAATTCTGCATATTTTATTATTTAAAAAGAAAAGGTAAAAAAAAAAAAAAAAAAAAAAGGGAAAAAACAACTCTCTTTTGACCCGCAAATGCTCTCAAAAGAGAGAACCTAAAAACCCTTCTAGATTGAGAAAAGCCCGTGAGAAACATAATAAAATACCAGGGCGTTCCCGAGATTCCTTCCGATAGACATAGCAGAACTTAAAAACTTAAACTCTATGATACCGCCATATTGCCATATTGCCATAAGCAATGGACACCCAGAGCCCGGCTACGATTTCTTATTTCTTATCAATAAAATATGTGTGGTTCCTGAATCCCGGACCAAAACCAACCAACCCATCACGCAAGCGAACCAAATAATCCTGCTGCACGAGTCAAAGGGTAAACAAAAGCCATGGAGCGAAGGGATGCGGCCCGCTCATGCAGTGAGTTTAGTTAGTCGAGTTAGCTTGAGTATAGATAACCAACCCAGTTTCCCGTCGGTGCCCAGCGATTAGTTAGGTTCCCACTATATAGCAAGCAGGGAGGTGAACTTAAGGTAAAAAAAAAACAAGGTAACTAAAGCAACTAGTTAGTTACGTTAATCATTCTTCCCTTCTTTTTTTTATTTTTTATTTTATTTTGTTTTGCCTTTTCTCGCTCCGAAACTTTCCAATCAACGGTGTCTCCTGGCTGGGGGCAACTACTTACCAGAAGCAATAAATAATAATTAATCCCTCGGAAGAACAGAGAAGTTTCCCATGGTTAATGCCGATTGCATCATCTCGAGAGTTTTGACGACCTTCTGTCTCACAGTCGATGTCGTTCTCAACTTCCAAATCAAACCACCATCAACCGAGAAAGATCAGAGGCAAATTTTCCCCCCCGGTCGGTCGTTGGAATCTGCTGCTTACTTACGCGATGATGTATGCGTAGCTCTCCTCGGGAACGGGCGTGGCGCTGTCCAGTGTTCAGTGTTCAAACCACACCCACTCACCTAACTAACCCTACCTACCTTAACCGCCACGGGCCGGCTCGCCCAGCCCGTCCTGCCTGATTGTACTCCGTACTCCGTACAATATCTTTAATTGTCTCTCAGTGACGTTTGTTGTTAATGCCCCCACGATATCACATACAGACTATATATTCAATAATAGAAAAAAAAGAAAAAAAAAAGAAAAAGAATAGAGAAAAAACAAAAAAAAAAAAAAAAAAAAAATGACACGGCATAACTAACTCTGCTCTGTGTCTGTTTCTATTTACTAACAATGCGTTACATTGACCTTTGACTGTTCTTGGAGTTGCGATGACAACAAAGCTCGCCTAATCAGACCTGAAACTGGCAGCTCGCGAATCTTCCCTGTCCATTATTCCATGGAATCTACATGCTTATGTATCTATCCATAGCCACGTTAACCTTGGAAATTGTTGACAAATCTACAAAGTTCTTCTCAACGGTTTATCCAATAAAGGTAATTTGCTTGAGGTAAGGTAAGGTCTTTTTTATTTTTTTTTATTTTTTTATATTTTTTATATTTCTTTTTGCTCAACGCTTCAAAACAATTGAAGCTTAAAAAATATATTATTTTATTTTATTTATTTATTTAATTAATTAATTAATTTTTCTTTCAAATGAGTAATAAATTAATAACAGAAAGGGGGAGTACGCTATACTCCGTAAGTACTCCGTAGTAACTAAAGAAATCTAATCCCTCACTGCTGCTACCCCTGCTACAATGGGAAGTTTCAGCCAAACTTTATGAGGCCTCTCATATCTTATTGCTGTGCTGCTTGCTCCACGAGAACCACCTATGTAACAACAACAATACTAATACTAATAATACTACTACTACTACTACAATTGATGTCATTGCCAGCGTGCTCACAGATTAATCTGGTCGAAGCTGATTGATTTTATTTACCTTGTGAAACCGGGGGCTCTAGTGCAACGAACGGGAGAGAGGGAGAGTGAGAGACTGAGAGAGAAGTAACGGAGTACGCAGTAAGTTAAGTAAACTCATAGGTTCTTGCTGAGCAAATTCTTCCGGTTTATTTTTACCTAGGTAGTAGCGTAACTTACGGAGTTGCTGTACTCATTATATTTGGCCGCTTCAGGTTTTGGGGGTATCTATATCTAAGTTCTGCAAAAAACAATACCAAATGGCATCTACTCCCTATAGAGCAGGGTGATGGCATGAATCTATCTATCTTGATCAGAAGGAATTCCACATAGTTATGATGTGAGTAACAAACGCGATTGTGGTTTTTTGCGAGGTTTAATAGTTAGATGGGGTTTGAGTTAATTATGGGACAAGCAGTTATTTACCATATATATTCCAAATGAGGGGAGTTTGGAGGGAGAAGTATATTAACGCTGGTAATAGAGATATAAAACTGTATCAATTGTATGTACAGTACATGTACAATGTACATGGTGGCATCCTAACATTGTGATAGTTAAAGATAGATCATCATTAATAACTTCCGTAGTAATCTGTATGTACTACGTGGGAGATGAACTGAACTACGGAGTAGTTAACACTCATCAGGAAACATTTTTCCAGAACCACCGACGCGAAAAAAAATCGGCGGCTACCACGGCGTCCAAAAAAGCAAGCGATGAGAAACTTAACGTTTTAATTTCCAACGCTCAAAACTTCCGCTGCTAAACTAACTAGCATGCTTGCTTGCATATATCTAGGAACTACTAAATTAACTACGCAGCGTAGAAGGTCGCGCGCGGATGGAGAAAAGGAGAAAAAACGAATGGTTAGCAGTAGCAGCAGTGTCTGTATTTTTTAGATATATGGAAGCGGTGGCGAGTGAGGCTAATGTGTCTTCGCTTCCGCGGGCGGGTCAAAAAATCCCTTCCCCCAACAAACAGATATCGACCCAACCTGGGGTATTATCGGGGGTATTATCGGGGGTATTATCGGGGATATTATCGGGGATATTATCGGGGAGTTGGGGAGGGATGGACCCCGGGCGGATCATCAATTCATGGGGATTCCTGTACATAAAAAAGGCGGGAAATTGGAAGAAGTTGAAAGACCTCAGCACTAAATCAGAATTCCCGCGTCCCTCGCGAAGAAAAATGGGTAGTTTAACTTATGTAACTACTTACCTTCTCCGCCAGTTAGCTAGCTGTATTGCGCCTGGGTGGATGTTTCCACGTACTAATAATAGCTGCCTGGTTTTTCGAATAATAATAATTACCATCGACGGGGTTAGAAAATATGGGAGAACTTGTTTGTGACGTGAGAATGATACAACCTCGTTCACATGTCTGCTGCATGAGAATGATATCATCCAAAATGTTTCTTATGCAGGACGGACCCTTGTGAGAGGCTGCTGAGAACTTGATGCGTTGAAATATCTCCGGACAAAATCTATATGTATCGGGACCTTTTTTTTTTAAAAAAAAAAAAATCTGACACTTGCCGCCGCGGGAGGGAGCATGCATCGGGTGTCACATCATCTTCTTCTCCTGGCATTAGTTCTAAAAATTGGTTACGGAGTACTACTTTTAGAGAAAATGCCGAGTTAAGGGAAAGGGAAGAAAAAAAGAGAAAAAGAAAAATTGCGGTGTAAAGAAAAACACGAAATAGCGGTGGAGGGCAAGCCAGCGCCCGTACCGCACCGCACCGCACCGCCCCGCCAGACCTCAGATGTTGGCCGCTGCAGATTTTCCACAGCTGTGGAAGATCCATCACCGTTCGATTGGCTGCTGGCGCTTTGCCGGGATAACTGCGGAAGTGCATAATCACGCACACATGTCAGAGGTCTTGTGATGCGGGAGTGCATCAGGAATTGCCGTCATCGTTAGAATCCCTCTGCGGGTGCTGGCTTGGATGCAACGCTTCTGGTTTTCCCCAGCTGGCGGCGAGTTTGGCTGTTTGATGATAGATGTTCCTGCTAGCAAGCAATTAGTTATATGTAACTATGGGTAATGCAGCGTATAACCAATCATGCCATTCTTAGCAATGGTGATCGTTACCTAGCAAGAATATTCAGATGTTGACAATAATAATAGATATTTTTGTAACGTAACTATGCAATATCGAGAGATATTCTGAGCTTTGGTGTCGGTTCTCAGCCGCGCCCAGCAGAACCTCATCCTTTCCGGATACGGCAACCACCACGAAATTCCCCCAATAACCACCAGCAAATCACACTCGCCAGAAGAACTCCAGCGTACACACATTGGATTTTATATCGGATCGGTCTTCTTATGTTTACGCTGTATAAATCATGCCGGTTCTTCTCTGCTGGCCACCAATGACCATTCAATCCCCGCCTGCATCTGCATGAGTTTCCTTGCATACATCGAACACGTTGACCCCAGTCCCGTCCTTCCCGCCCAGCCGCAGCACTTATTTTTCTTTTTTGTTTTCTTTCCGACCGACCCCCAGTAATCAATAATAATCTAGGAACCATATGCTTCAAAGGAGTCTCAAGCCAGCTTTTTAAGGCACCTCCCGCTAGTTCTAGTTCGCTGCTTCTCATAGCCCGGACTGACTTCTTATTTGGCTGCCCAACCCGTCCGTCGTCCGTCCGTAGCGCCCCCCCACCCCCTACCACGACATAACTACCGGCGCGCGCCTTGATCGATGACGGGCCGCCCCGGATGGCAACTTGGCAAAACATTATTATTATTATTATTATTGGCGATCACTTGTTCAACACCCAATGGAGTGGGACAGCGGCTTTGGGCTGCCCTCTTTTTTTTTTTTTTTTTTTTTTTTTTTTTTTTTTTTTCAGTTCTTTTCTTTTCCCTTCCCAGCCGACTGAGTCCCCCTGATTTCCCCGGTCCCGTTTCTTTTTGCTTGACAGGCAGCCAGAGGAGAGAGAAATGGAAAATCATTGGCCCTCACTTCGGGCGACGGATGGGCGGGATACCATGCAAGAAAGTTCTTTTTTTTTTTTCTTCTTTTTTCCCTTTCTCTTGGACCTGGATAAACCATACCAGACATGAGGAGATGGGCGGAATCAGTTATGCAGCCAAAACATGCAGGCGCGGGGGCGTTGCATGTCGTTGCGATCATGTGCTGTTTCATGCTCTGAATGTATGTGATGATATGGTCGCAGCATATGAAGGACCTGACAGCTTTGCGCCTGCATTCCTTTTCTTTCCCTCTCCATTGGAGTCTCTACTTGCCAACATAGCCATTGCATTTGTTGGTGGGCCAGGGAGGGGGGAGGGGGGAGGGATATTCAGCTGATGCTGGGAGAATTTGTTTGCATGAGATGGCAACCGACGTGAGAGACATGGTGAGGCTGCGATGACACCCCTCCATCAGACCTCCCGTCGCTGCAGATATTATGCAGCTTTGCAGGTTTCGGGCATATGAGAACGCAATCCTGATATTGCCCGATAGACATAACCGGTGTATCCTAGGCCTCTGCGGTCGGAAAAACAAGGGTCGGAATCAACCATTGCATAAACCCACCTGCAATGCCGACATGAATGAGAGGCAACTCTGCGGGAGTGCTATGGTTCTACTCCGCCTATCGAGCATACTTACTTTTAACCACTTGTCACTGATGGGTTTGTCGAGATGAGATGGGGGCGGGAAATAGCGCGTACCCGTACCGTATTAGAACATAGCGCTGTTTTGGTAATACGATACACCACCATCCGTCAATAGATAAATGATACCAAACAGAACGGCTCTACGGAGTATACCAGCGTACCATACCCCTGTCCGCCCACGTTTTGCTCGGGTCAATCGGGGCATCCCTGCAATCCGCGCCCACCGCCGCCCACGGCCAATCAATCGAACGGGCGCCTCCTCCTGCTGTGCTGGCTGCTGCCGTCCCTCCCCACCGGCCCTGCACCACCGCTAGCCGGCGCTCCAGCGTGTGCTTTTCGCCTTCGTCCGCCGCGGCCGCCCCCCGCCCCCCCCACTGCTGCCACCCATCTCTCTCGCCCAGCCCACAAACAACATGGGACCCCCCCTCCCCTTACCGCCTGGGCAGCATGGGCTATCTTAGCAGCGATGGAGTCTGGAGTAACAGAACAAGGTCCATCAGACCAGTCACATGGCGCATATGACGACCGTTTCCTTGCAAGCGTTGTTCTCCCCCCCAGCTGACCGACCCTCTTTTTCTTCCTCCTTCCCTTCCTCCTCCCCCCCTGTTTGCTAGTCCCATCCATCCATCACGGGGCAAAGACCAATCCGGCTGTGCCTCTGGCGCTGCTACCGCCTGTCCCAGCGGACAGGCCAGGAAATGGGTAAACGTCGCCGCTAATGCAAGTTTGTCACCGCCTCCGTTGCGTAATCCACTCCTTTCCGCCATCTTTCACCCAAAATGGAGATATAGCCACATCCCCACTTGACGCCAGGGAGGAACGGAGTTCTCCAAAAAACCAACTTAGGCGGCTTGGTGCCAACTAATCCATTGGGCTGGACTGCCTGAGGGGGTCGCAGGGCACGCAAAACACGACTGGGCTTTGGATTTTTTTTTTCCTCCTTCCCTCACATTCGTTTTTTTATTTTCCCTCCTACACTCTCAACCCTCGCTACCCAACACTGGTTCCACATAAACTTAAATCCCACCCCATCCCTGTCTCCCGCCTAGGCCCGCATATGATTTTGGTCATGTGCTTTGAAGATAGCCAATCCTGGCTCTCCATCGCGATGCCACCGAGACAAGGACATTGGCCAATAATCTGGATCTCTCTCATTGTCTTGAACAATTCCACGCGTGACGCGTTTGAGGTGTTCCTCCAAAACACATCCCTTCATTGTTGGTCAAGGAAATGAAAGAAGCACAGCTACATGAAACTGTGCAAAGCTCTTGGTGAACGTACGGGCGTCGATCTACATTTTTTTTCAAGTTTATTTCTGTCCTGATACGCTGGGAACATGCTCGCTACTTGACAAATCAAACTGGTCGAGATGAGAAAAACCGATAGTTCGGCGTTGTGGAGACAAGATTGACACCCGGAGGAGGAGCCGTGACATTTTTTATGAAAATTTGCGGCACCCCACCCGCTTTCCTGCAGGGCGCTTTTTTTTCAGGGAATCAGACTGACACCACGCACTTGGGACCATGGAGTTTTTTTTTTTTTTTTTTTTTTTTTTTTTTTTTTTTTTTAATCTCATTCCGAATGACGCAATGTGTAGCAGGGACATCTTAATTACGACTGTTTTGTGTCTCGGTGGAAGGGGGGCCAAGGAAATTTTATGGTCCGATTCTCCATTTGGCAGATATCATTTAGAGTGCGAGACACAAAGTGCAGGACGAATATTTGCGACGGGGTTCATGCATGTGTGAGCTGTACAACGTCGCAAAAATCTGTTTTCCGAACCTTTGAACGGACTGAGGGAGGAGATGCCCATCAACGAAGCTTAGGGCCCCCAGCCACTATTCGAAACGCGTATCGGTATTTCCTATCCGAACGAACGGTCCCTCTTTTTTCGTCGTCCCGGGTCTGGTTCAAGCTAAGTTAACAAAGCGACAAAAACGGGGTAGACGGAGGGAAAAAAAAAAAAAAAAAAAAAAAAAAAAAAAAACCTCCCCGATTTGTTCCCTCGGCGTATGAACTTTACATTATTTATTGATGGAACTAACGTATGCGATCCCAAAAAGAGAAAACGAGCAACACAAAAAGCAAATAGGGGCCACACCGCGATCGTGTGCTGAATCCGCGCTGTCATCTCAGCGCTCGTGAATGTGCCACCAGATAATTCTCAATGAACAGCCGAAACATCGATCGCTCTCCAGTTGTCGAGCAGTAGGCCTTTTGAGACTCATTGTCCTTTTTGACGTCACCCTTGGCAAAATCTAATCAATCTCATCAACCATTTCGCTCCCAATTGTGCATGGAGATGTTGTTATGCCTTTTATTCTCACTTCCCCTACGCCGCCGGGCGCGCATGATAAGGACTATGGACTTGTTGCCGAGCTCTAAAGTTAGCTAGCTACATGTATGTTCGTGCTGCCAGCCAACTCCTTTACCAATCTACACCATACGGTTCTCGAAATGGGAAAAGAAAAAAAGGTCGAAACTTTCTACCCCCGTCCTCTACCAATTCCAGAAAACTGCAGAGGGCGGGGGGGTCCTAGCTGACAGCACAGCAGTTCCAATATAATATAACATCATTCACTAACCCCGAGGAGAATTCGTCGTCTCCCGTCCTGAAACTTCCATCCGACGATTGTGGGTGGAACGCGTTGACGTTGACGCATCCGCGTGTGAGACACATGTCTGTCCACACCTCCTGTTGACACACAATGATAGCTTGGGAAGTGCCATCGGGCCTCCTTTCAGGAACATCCAAAGGCATCATTTCTTTCATTTCTTGACATTGGGAGGAGGGCATGGTTGTCACCCCTTCCCCTCACGCCAGCCCCAATATCCCACTTCCAGACTTCCAGCTATCAATCTTATTATATACATACCTATTGGACAGTCATCTCACTCATACTTTTACACATGGGTTTTGTGTGGGAAATACGAACGGAGGTGTGTGTGTTTGTGTGCCCCTTTACACCCTTTTTTTTTTTTTTTTTTTAATTTTTTTTTCTTAATTTTCTTAATTTTTTTAATTTTAATTTTAACTTTATTTTCTTTTTTCTTTCTATCTCTTTCTTTTCACCAAAGTTGCTTTAACTGGGAGTTTTCCAACGAGAACTGTATTATGGGCATATACGCCCGACTGACTGTCATGGTAGTTAGTATATGCAATGCCAGTAACTTTTTGGTGTTCATCGCACGTTCCTTTTTTACCTTTGGACATCGGTTTTCGGGTAGCGGGAGCGGAAACGGAAGCGGGACGAGCGGGACGAGCGGGACGGACGTGTGGGCGGCGGGCAGAAGGGCGGTCCTTTGGTAGCTAATATAATGAATGTACACGTACATGTACATGAATATATTATGATTTTCCGTACCGCATCCATTTTTCTCTTTGAGGTTAGCAAAATGAGAGAGTCAATATAGCCGTTACTCTCTTCTCTTACGGAGTGAACTTGACTGTGTAGTAGTATGTTTTGCCTCTGCCCATTTCATTTGATACGTGAGAGAGGCTGTTGAGATGGGGGAGTCTAGAAATATATGCACAGCATAGTCTAGGGAGTTACTTTGGCTTCCTTTTTATTTTTTTTTCTATTTTATTTTATTTTATTTTATTTTTCCTTTCCTTCCCTTACGAATGTGTTAATGAATATGTATATATATATATATACCTTCATATCAAGGCCTAGCCAGAGCTTGAATTATACACTCCTCTGCAAGAAGCATGCTCTCAACTAGTCTTTCCTTCTTCGCATGATGATAGAACTCACTGGGTTTGCTGGATTGTGCCAGGAGCATCATCAGACTAGGTAGAGCTCTTCAGCAAAATAGAAAATCATCAGATATATTCTGCCAGTCCGCATTCTTTTTTTTTTTTTTTTTCTTTTTTTTTTTACGTAACTATATATCTACATGTTAAATCTGCTCTGAATGAAACATACCAATCCAGCATATAAACTGGCTCTTCAATTGATCGCGGTATGATATTAGATTTACTGGTTTTGACTGGGAACTATAACTACCTTAGCTGCTGGGGATAGCGAGAAGTGTTCACAAATATATATATATATATATATATATATGTAGTATGTCACTGAGATTGGGACGTCAGAACCAACGACCACGACGAACTAACCCCCTCCCAAACGAAGGTGGCATACATTCATTCTAAATTATTCTATACTTACTCTTCTCAAAATATTATTGAAACGACATATCATTTGCGCATGTGAGAAGAATCACAACGCCCCAGGTTTTCCCCCTTTTTTTTTGGTTGAAGGGGGGGGGGGGGGCATAAGCTGTGATCGCGCCTTCCGAGACCTGCAAGTCGGCTCGTGTTAATTCTCTACACGTTGCCGAAATAATAATAATAGGGGAAGGATTTATAATATTTTTCTTTTGGGGACGACCGGATCCAGTGAAACTTCATTCGTTTTAAAAGACGCCTACTACTAGCTGAGGGAGGGGGCCACTTTTCCTGCTTTACCTGTCCCAGAGAAAGATCTAGGCTGGAGGTTTGGCTGGGGGGTTTTTAGTTGGAGGCATAGTTCGTTCGTTCAGAGGGGGGGGGGGGAGAGAGGAGACAAGGATATGACACAGAACCAAAGAGTGGGAGTAAGAGTTGAGTTGGGCCGGGAGGGAAGGTAGTAATAATAATAAGAGGGACCTGGAGGATACGAGTTTGTCAAGCCTCTTTTCCTTTCCTTTGCTTTTCCGTTTTTCTTTTCTTTTTCCCTTTTCTTTCACCTCTTGTGAAAAAAGAGAGCTTGCCGGAGCAATGCGCAAGCGCCATTTCCCCGTTCTCCTTCTGAGTGACCCCACCCGAAAGTCAGTTTGCAATTGACGGTGTGCGTACGAGGAGACGGCCCCAGCCTGAGATAATGTGTGTCAAGAATGGCAGGCTTTGATGGGATGGGGGATTCCGCATTGACTGGAGTCACAATGCCACATAGTTGAAATTTTGAAACTCGTAGCTCGCAAGAGAATGGAGCTGAAGGGACCTGTTCTAAAACTTGGTTTCTTGCATCCGCGAGGATTCGAGTGGGTTAGGATGCAATAGGAATAGGGTACCATCAAAGAACGGCATGAGATCCAACACCAATTCCAAATCAAGCAAACAGTCCTGCTACCTAGATGATTGGGAGGATGACACTTCTCCACTGACACAAAATGATAAAGCAACTGCATCACTCTTCAAAATACCCATATTGTTACAACATCCAGCGCTAGACAGGTGGCAGATAGGGAGGAGCAAAAATCGGCCCAGCGTCATTCAGTGCGTTAGCTATGATGAGCGTTGCTACTCTGGTTCGCTAACGACTTCACCGGGTCCACCGTCATCGTGGCCGGAGTCTCTATCAATAATAATATCATCATCATTAGGATCCTCCTCTAAAGGGGGATCGGGCATCACAACACTGTTTAAGTATGTGACCTATCGGTAGTTATGCATGTTAGCCCAAAAAATCACCAATCGAGTGGTTGAAAGCCAATCAGTAATACGATGATGGAGAAGGCTAGAATGGAATGCTTTTAGGTACACTCGGATTTACTGGCATCATCGCCGGTGGGCGACAACTGAGCCAGTCGGATACTATCTAGGCTGACCGAACCTGGGCGCAGGATTTCCGCTGGAGTTCTCAGATACGCTATATGGTTATTTGCGACCGTATTGCGAATTTAGGAGAACCCAGCGTTCACACCGCCAGGAGGGTGGAGCACAAACAGTTTCTAATGGCCCAACTGGCTAGGGTGCTGCCGTGGAGTCGGCAGCTTCTCTGGTCCGAGTATGGGCCATCCACAGAAACACACACAAGCCGTGGATTGGTGCAGTAGTGCCAAGCGGGAGTCAAAACAGAACAGACCGCTCCAGGCTAAACAGGGTTGAGGGGAGAAGGGAGGGGAAAACTGGAGAGGTGGAAATGTCTTACGAAAGGTACCATGATCTCAACCGTACGTGCAACACGATCGAGGGCTTTCGGACCTAGCAAGTCTTTGTCCTCAAGTCTTTTGCTAATGGTAAAGCTGCGGAGCCGCAGAAGATCGATGTTCTTGTTATCAGCATCGTAGCCCTGGTTCAAACAAGGGAAAGTGTTAGCCTCGAATCTAAGCAGGCCGAAACTTTGGAACGTGACAGATGGTTAGGACAAAGGAAGCAATAGCGTGAACTCTGATATAAATCAAGACTGGCCTAAGGAATCAGGGGAAGCTCGGCAGGACCACAAGGGGTGGCAAATCCGCTTCGACTTTAGCGAGAGGAACCGAGGAGGGTTGGAACGCGCGGGACATTCCATCAAACCTTCCCAACTTTACCCCCAGATGCGATCTGTCATGGAGATGGTGTCATCGGTGGCATCAAGACTGCACCCCTTTATCAGATGAAACATGAAAATTCATCCCAATGTCCAGGTCCGAAAGAACTGAGATTGACTGAGCACGGACGGAGTAAGCCCATTGACCAGTTAAAGACCGCTGCCGTAACCATCGCCTTACGGTCCGGTCAAAGATAGCGCGCGATTTACGAACGGGGATATGTGGACGGGGCAATACCGAAGGGACCAGTAGTCCAAGTGTTGGGGATGGAGCACTGGCCACAGAGGTCCATGAAATGTCCTTGATGGGGAATAATCTGCTGAGGATTTCAAAGTCCACCGTACAACTGTCATACATCGTCGACGAAGAGATCGGCAAACCAAAGGATTATTCTAGACAGCCAGTAATATGACCTCATGTTATGGATTGAGTTGTCCGAGATGGATGGTTCAATACACGAGAGTTTGAGGTCGGAGCCTTGGAAATGACGGGGTATTGAATGTAAGACGAGGAAATGGGATGGGCAGGATCACATCCGTGTTTCACGTCGAGTTTACTTAGACGAAAGATTATTTTTCATCTTACTTTTGGTTTAGTTTTCAGCGCACTCTCTTGGTTCTGGCTGACGAATGCTAAGACGGCCTCCTTTTCAGATTTCGGAACACCATTGAAGAGCTCCTTTCGAACGTCCACTGCATTTAACACGTTCTTGATTCGCCGTGAATTCTGGTCAATATCTCGGCGAAGCAAGGCAAGCTTGGCAGCTTCTGGATGCCAGAGGCCCGAGCCTGATTCAGGTGGTGATTGTCAGTGGATGTAAAAATTTGTGCGTCATTTCTCGCCTGGTTTGTAGTGCAACAAAGTCCCGCCTATCGAATTTTCGAACGTATGCACCACCGAGTGGTGTGAAACGAGGCGATGATATCACCAAGTCACCACCGATCAAACCATACAGCCGGCGCTATATTTGGAGTGGAGAATAAAGCGAATTTTCGTGGCTAAGGTCCCTGTTGCAGGCGACTAATTCCGCCAAATAAGGGACACCACGCGTGGAAGCACATGTTTGGTGCAACTTACCCACAAAACTTCTGCCAGGCTCTATATGCACGTAATAGGCGGCGTAAGGGCCCTTGCGTCCGGTGCGAGACCTAAATGGTTTATCAGCTCTGCTGCTCGTTCGCTGACGGCGTCTCGATTAATATCAGTGCGGTTAAATGCGGTCAACTCGTGGATTGCGTACCATGCAGCCGAGAAATGAGGCTTCGTAGTGCGTTAGCGATATTCCAACTCCCAAGACAGCAATGTAACAGAGGTTGAGGCAAAAAGACACTGAGTTTTGGTGGGACGTACTTTGTATGGGGTGGGATCATTGCTGAACCGGATATCTCGATATATACGGAAGACCTACAAAATGACCACAACGGGTCTGATTAGTCCCGTAAAGGCAGGTGATGGCAACATGTTGCGCAAATACCAGATCTTTGGCAGGCAATTCTGGGATTGTGCTATCCTTCTCCATGATCTTTTCCGTGAGACTTTCGACGAACGTGTCCCAGTCACGTTGCGAGGTCCGAAAATCCGCATCATGCACTACTCCGAGTGAGCAACGAGGCAAAATATAGCAATACCACATAAGTCTTCGCTTGTACTCACTCTTCAGCCACTCGCGCTGATTATTCGCCTTTAAATCCTTGAGGAATAATAATGTGTTTGGATGAATCGTATTATCCTCGTAGGGCGTATCACCAGCATCCCTAGGCTTGGGTAGCTTAATGAAGACTTCCTTCCCAGGTCCTAGGCCAGTCTTCACACCCTCCCGCCATAACTCCTTTCCTTTGCCCGCCGTCGAAGCAGAGGAGACTGCCTTTTCCCTCCTAGAACCCTGAGTGGCTTCCGTTGCTTTCTTCCGCCCGCTTGCCCAGCCCCGACTGCCGCGCTTTTTGGTAGGCTTAGATTCTGATTCGGACTCATCCCTAACCGGCGGTATAGAAAGTGAGTCCTCGTCGCCCTCTTCGCCCTCTTCGTAAGCCGCCGGTGTATTAGAAGCTACCTCGGAGAGCTCTGTCGTCTCCGCATCCACACTCGCCGCGTGCTGGTTCCTGAAGTATTTGCTCTTTTTATCTGTAGATTTAACGGGCTTCGGCTCCCTTGCAGCGCTTTTACCCTTAGAGGGCTTTCGTCGTTTAGACTCTCTGGCTGCTTCTGAACTGGAAACCGAGCCGTTGGCAGAAGCTCGTTTCTTCTGCTGTTCGGTGGCTGATGATCGGAGGTTGAGGCGGGAGGAACGTCTGGGCATTTTGGCTGAAGATCTCGGGTTTCTGCGTGGGAGGTTTCTATCCTGTAGCTAATAGAGCATACAATAGCAAATAAAATCCGCAATTTCGATAGAGAAGTATTAGTTCAAGAAAGAGGAATTCAATTTATTTAGTATGCGTTGAAACGAAACTCTTTGAGGGGGGGCCGAGAGGAAACAAAGCTTTAGCTAGCGCGGAACTAACTAAATAGGAGCATGATAAGAGCTCTTGAGTCTTCGAGTCTATCAGAATGAAAATGTTTTCTTCCATTGTTTGTCTGGGTTGGGTTGATATTCTCTAAGGGAGAGAGTTTGTTGGCGGTGGGAATTATCCAAAGAGAAATATTTTTCGCGGTAGCGCATCCGGATATTTGATTGCAGACACATTTCTTCTATTTATATCATCCTCCCCACTGAATGAACAGCCAACGACACACGCGGTTACGGCTTCGATCGAGAGAACAAATGGAACCAGAGGAATCGGGCTGCATTTCATTGTCTATCGTCCAGCATTATTAATGAAAACAAATCCGGCTCGAATGAAAAACACTCTTTGACTGTGCCCGGACCGGATCCGTATCAAGTTCTTGCTGTGAAGAAGACAAATTGAACTCAGTTCGGAAGACATGGCTTCCCCTCGACCCGGCTTTGAAGCTAAAAAGCAGAAGATTTTACGCGATCTATCTGTCCCAGATGAGGAATATACAGACCTCTCACCCAAAGGATCTGTAGATGCGGGCATCCGCGACTTGATTCACAATATAAATCAGATACCGGGCTTGGTTACGACTAGCAGCTGCGCGGGAAGAATCAGCGTATTTCTAGAAGGGGGAGGAAGTGGAAGAGAAAGGACAAGAGTAGAAGATAATAAAAATGTTTCTTTCAGAGAAAGTGATCAAAAGACCATAGAAGCGGAGGCGGAGATCGGAGAGAGCTCAGCACAAACCGCACCACAGTTTGCCCCAACTGGTGGGAAAGGAAGTGGAAAATGGTTATTTGAATCTCATGAACCAGTGCAGATAGATCAGAGCTGTGAAGGTAATTATCTCCATGGGATATTTCATCTGGTTCCGGGGGACGAGAAGATTGGGATAGCAAACCATTCTGGTAGCTTGAGACTTGTCCGCTTTCATTTTGAACCCATGGTTAGTTTTTTCCCCTACCTGTTGAATATGTTATACCTAATTTCCAAGTATCTACAATTTTCAAAATCTAGCTTTCAAATATATAAATCAAAACCTAACGGAACCCACAGATTCTACACATTATGGCATCATCTCTAAAGCATGCCCAGCCAGTCCTCACAGCGGCCACAACAGCCGGCTTTCGAGAAAGTGGCATACAAAGCCTACGGTGTCTAGATGATACGGAAGCATACCCTATTGTGGCAGTTCGTTCCTCCGGACTTGCCCTTGAGTCCATAATCGGCTTCCACCAGCAATCCATCGGAAATGAACGCGAGGAAGACATTGTCAGGAGCCTAGTATCTGAAGACTATCTTCGCATGTTGCTTGCAGCTGCAAATGAGAGGTTTCAGACGAACGCAGAGCGGCGAGAGAGATTTTGGACGAAATTGCAGGAGCTTTGCAAGGGGCATCCTGGTAATATTTCTTCGAGAAGGCCTGATTGGGAAGATCCTGAAGCGCGGAGGCAAAGGAAGAGGGCGGAGGGCTTAAGGCGGAGTAAAGCCGCCATGGAAGCAAAGGCTGCTCAGAGTGGGCTTGATACGTATGTTGAGATAATAGGCGAGGAGGGTGAACCATCATTTCTGTATCCTTGATTCGGGGTTAAAATAATTCAAGAGAATCTTTGATTTTTGTTGTTGGCTGCCAGCCGCTTACTGCCTTTCTCGTGGCAGTTGGCTAATTGATCTGATTCGAGCTATATATGATACTCTATGGCTGTGTATATAGTCATCCAGCGGACTAAAATTATGAAGATATTGTGGAGCCATGTTTCCTACAATGTGTCGCCATCTCTTCAAGTAACCCTACTGCGTACATCTTTACTGATCCCTTTGGAAGTATGGTGGCTACCGCTCACGGACTTTAAAATTTGCCGCTGGAAAGGCAATGAAATGCAAATGGCAACTTACGGGCTTCATTTTGTTAGTGCTCTGTTAACTAACCCACAAACTAATTATTTGTGCTTGACATATCCCTGCTCGTCCCACCCAGGAACTTTTTTTTTTGGCGGGGGGGAGGGGGGGGGAAGAGAGGAAGAAAAAAAAGAAAGAGAAAAAGGCGAAAAGCATAAAGGAAACGAAACTAAAACATATCAGTAAATTCACTGTCACTTCGATTTGGCCCTCCGTCACCGTAGACTAGATGCGCCTGCTTCCAATACCTTTGTAGCCATTGCCATTGGCATAGATCCCCATGGATGTCAAAAAAAAAAAAAAAAAAAAAAAAAAAAAAAAAAAGAAGGCGAGAGAAATAAGAACAAAGCAATAAATCGATCGCTTTCATGGTGCGAAATACACAAGCCGTATTTCTTCATTTGTGAAAAATGAGGGGAAAAAGATGAGAAAAAGTAAAACCTGGTGCTTTTCGGCAAACATAAAATTTGACCAAAATTTTATGGCCTTTATCCTGTAGGTGTTATTGTATCGAAGGATATCTTGGAGTAAACTACCTATCGTCCTTGCTTCCCTGGCGCGATTGAATTGTAGCCGGTTATCCTGGAAGAAGTCCAAAGGGAAAACTTGCCAAAAGGATCCCAAAAGAGTGAAGAGGACATCAGAAAAAAATTGGGACGGTTCAGAAGAAACAATCCAGAGGTGCTCTGAATAGGTGAAGTTAATGAAAACTGCGTGACAATTAACAGAACTAGATGATGTGCGCAAAATCACACAGAACACTCATAGCAAGTCTCATCCACCTCAGGCACTGGAGAATGACGACTTCCATTAGTTGTAGCACGGGTGCGGCGACGAGTGCCCACTGCTCCAAATATGTTTTTGGGTACCATGTCCTGAGTATCGGCGAGTCCCGAAAAGGAGTTTGCAGGCCTCCGGTGATTAGCCGGACTGGCACGCGAGGCATCATCGTTGTCACTTAACTTATTTGTAGAAAGTGGAATATGGATTAAATTGATTGGAGCAGAGCTGGCCTGGCGGTTCATGTTGTGGGTAGCCCGAACGGGGTAGCGGAGAGTATCGTGTGCAAAGGATTGGGAAAATTTCTTAGTGATAGGGTCTGCGGCTGAAGAGGGAGCTTCAACGGAAGCTGAAGTAGATGAACCAGAAGTTGCGAGTGAATGAGACCGGCTCTCTGCACCACGTTTGTTCTTAACGCCCTCAGTGACTAGCTGTATTAAAATACTATTTTCATAGTCCACCGCGGTCTGCCATTTGTGGTGGGTATTTCCCCAACCCCACTCAAGCCAGATCTTTCCAAAAGGAGAGCTTGCATGCATGACAGGATGCCAGGTGTTCGCAAGGAAGTTAGTACCAGGGTCCAAGGTAGCAGCACCAGCTACGATGAATTCAGCATATTGCTATAGAAGGTATTAGAACAAGATAACAAGTCAGATTTCCAGGGATTCCCATACCATGACGTGCTCCTCAGTAGCGTTAGGCTTGCGGGTGATGGTATCAAACGGCCAGAAGCGTTCAGTGGGGGATGCAACCACACTATGGTTCTTTGCTGCAACATTGAGAACAAACTTCTGACGGTCATTGAAGACAGGGCAGCGCAGTCCTGCCTCAAGTAGCTCCTGAACAAGGCGCGAGTCGAGCCCAATAGTTTGTCCTCGCTCCACTTGCGGCACCAAAGCATGGATCAGGCGCAGGGTGGCAGAGAAAATCTGATTGCGATCTTCCACGGTGTAATGATATGTCGCATACCAAGGGAACTGGGGCTAGGATTAGGAACGTCATCAAATATCGTGGGAACTGGACTTACCTTGTGCAAGGTACTCATCATATTTTCGTACGGGCGTTGAAGGCACTTTGCGCAGTAAACGGACTGTTGCGTTGAAGGGATCAGTATCTGAGAGCTCTCAAGCAGCAAGTTAAGGCACCACTTACACGCTGAGGCACCTCAGCATGGCGAACAGTGCAAAAGATTTCCTCCCCAGTCAAAAATCCCTGAAATCCAGAGCAATAATTCTCTCTTCCGGCCCTCACATGAGGAATACCATCTTTCCAATCGACATTTTTGGCACGGGGAAAGAGATCCTTGAGCAACTCGTCCTGGTTGCTAGCCCTGACTACCACGTGGCGATTGCCTAACTTCGGGGTTTGGAAACTGTCTAGACCCCGGTTAACCCAGGCAAGCGCACAGTCCGCATCAGCCTTAGCTGGAAATTCAACGTAGCAGTCCATAGTTTTTCCAGTCGAACGCTCCATTATAATATGGACAGGGCATCCCAGGTCTGGCGTCAATGGTCTGGCGTTGCGACCAAGAAACTGCAAGATCTCATGCTTGGTTACCGCATAAGGGATCTAGAATCATGTTAACTTGGCTTCCATATCAAGAGACACGACTGTCTCCAAGTGTCTGAAGTGCTGAAGCAGCCATAGGCCCCAGAACTATTGTGAGTGCTCATGATGGAGGAGTGAGATTGAAAATGAACGCATCGGAAGTTTGATATTACGCACATTGGTAATTTTGATAACCCCAAAACTGGGTGGCAGGCTGTATCTCGCCCCGTTATCGAATGGCATCGCGTATGGGTAGCAGACCGGATTGCTAGCGTAGGTGTGAGGACTGTTGTCTGCGACTGGCATTGTGGCAACTGTTCCGGTGATCGCAGTAATCGCAGCAGAAGCTGGTGCAGTGTCTGGGTGCTGTAGGGTGTTGTTGTAGTCAGATGGAAACTGAGAAGCTGGTGCAGACGAGGACGAAGGAGCGTGTTCCTCAGACGTCGCTAGAGTGACAGGTGAGACGACATCACCTCCTTTTTGCTCCATTGTCGAAGCAACCCCAACAAAGTGACGGTTTACCCCAACGATATTTGGATTCACTGATGAAGGAATTTCCGTGCACTCCCTAGATACAACAGTAGGAGGAAGGCTTGTGATTTGATCTTGAGACTTCGTAAAGCTATCGTCGAGTCCGCCATTTGGGTTTTTTCGAAGCCCCCGTTCCAGAATTGGTAAATAGTTTGTCTTTATTGCGCAAAGAGAATGACGCGGCAAGTATGACACGCTGGGATAGAATTTATAAGCCGCTTGATACCTGGTCGAGGTCTGTCCGGGGCTGCTGTTGGGATGGTAAGGGTATCCAGTAACCATCTGGAGAGGGGAGTGTTGAGGAAAGTGATGCTGCTGGCCACTGTTGGGAGCTGGGAGGCGATCTTCCCTAGTCTTGGGGCTGCCATCGTCAACGAAATCAGGAAATTTTTCGGTTTGCTTGTCACTGAGCGCATCTGAGGACACGGATATACTTCCATAATTGCTGCCGCATTCGTACTCTGAGGCCGAGAACCTATATCCATCGCCGCTGATCTGGGGATGTGCATGATTGAAGCCCAACAAATCACTCTCAGACGATCTATTGCCATACTCGCAGATGGCTATCGCTGGCACGGTATAGGGGGAATTGGGAGGATTTTCCCTCCAGTAGTCCCGAGCTTTACTCGTCATATGATACGCGGAAAAAGTCATTGTGTGCTGAATCTCTTGTTAGACACGCCAGAAACGAGTGTGAGGTGAGTGTGCAAAACTCCACCAACAATGAAAGAGTCTGCTTAAAACGAAACAAGAGGTCGAACGACGAGAAAAGGTGATACCCCACTTGGCGGCCCTAAATTGGTCCAGCCAGGAGATGCTTGTTGTAGTGCTTAGAGGTGAATGAGGAGGGAAGATAGCACGATGAATGAAACAGATATTAAAATCAAACAGTTTCATAGGGTTTGTGTGCTGCTTAGTCCTTAGCTGGACCTACCACGAGAGAATTGACACATGGGCAATAGGCATATGTTACTACTGGAAGGGTAGTTGTACTGTGGATCAGCTTGCAATATGATGTTAGATGTTTATAACCAAACTCAAATGTGCCTTGGGCTCCGGACTCTTCACAAAGACCATTTACCTGGGGTTGTTTGCTCTCCGTTTCGGACAAAATTAGCTCTTTGCTTTATGACTGTTGCAGGTTTAATCTAAATCGCCATAGCTCTGTATGTGAGCCAAATCCTACGTAAGTAAGGCGTCGGCGGTATCCAAAAGAGAAAGCGGAAATGGCGTTCCTACCCAGCATCTGGAGTGACTCCGCTCACTTAAGGTATAGAGATATCAGGATAGCAATCTAGCCTAGGTGCTTAACAAGCAGGACAGGACTGCAGGCACAACCAAAAAACCTCGAGGTGCCGGAAAAAAACAGAGGAGAAGCAATTAAGACAATGCGCTTGTTAAAGCCTCGGCGATGATTCAGTGGTAGAACATTACCAAATTAATGAGGTGGAAAGTGAAGTTAGATGATGAAAGTGCATATTGGGCCGGAAGGAGATAATAGAAATGAAAGATAAGAAAACTATGCTGGATAGCATAATTAACACTTCTTTGGAACAGAAGTTTAAGCATAGAAACACAAGGGGTTTTATTGGAATCTACACAGAGGAAAAGTGTCAAAAGGGACATCAGATTCCGAGTTATCACCCGGCAAAAAAAAAAAAAAAAAAAAAAGACATGTACTAGGCCGCTGAAGAGAGAATAAACATCGTATAAAGCCTATGGGTCCCCAAAGGCGTGTCATTAATTAATCGAACTTGTATTAGAAATATTAGCATCCGCATATACCTTCGAAAAAGGAAACCATACTTACAGGAGTCAAAAATGATTCCGCCACAAATCTCGCCCGAGCATTAAGCTACATAACCGTTAGTATACAGAACAATGTATTACTCCGATGGGGAAGTAGTCAGGTATCAGCCAGTCGAGTGCGGAGCAGATATACGCACAAAGAGTTTCATTTCCGATATCTCTTTGTCCACCTCTTCCATAAACTCTATGATAAAGTCAACCAGTTTGTGTTTCAACATAGCCTCCGTATGGAAATTGGTTATCAAAAATGAAATGTCGTAGTCCTAGACTATGTCAACCATGCCCCTTTCTATACTACTTGTTACAGGGGCTGCGTACCTTAACAGGCTTCCGTCGCAGGATGAAAAAGGCCTCTGCTCTTTGAGTCAAAAATCTCGTGAACTTGTGCACTAGAATATTCTCGATCTCATCTGCTTGCTTAATTCGAATGCTGACTCTGATACTGTTGACACTGGGCTCAATGAGGACCTTCTCGTTTTCGTTGCGCGCAATCGTAAGGGGGTTTAGTAGGACTTCGGGGGAAGTGGCCGCTTCTACCTCGGGGACGTTATGTCGTTCTGATGTCTGCGAAGCAAAGTTGGAAATTGCGAGGGCGGCTGTGAGGGAGGATCGCACACACTGAAGGTAAGGACGCAATGATTGAGACTGGAATACGATCAGTTCAGTTGGATACCCGGATGTAGTCGCTAGGGGATATACGTACCATAATGGATGTGGGGCGGGCCGTCACCTCAGCTGGGGAAAGATTGGGGTTGGAGGACACGGAGAAAATGGGATTTCGTGCGGGCAGTAATTAGCTTGATAAAATAGTCTGCCACGCTATTCATAGGATAAAAAGGGAAACAGGGTGGTGAAATTCTCAGTATATCGCACTCATTTTCTGGTTTCTGGCTGTGTCGCTGATGGGGTGGTGGGCGCTGTTTGCACTGTTTGCACTCTTTCTCCCCGCCAACCTCCAGAAGCATTTCTCAGCCAACAACGTTGTTTGTAGTCCCTATATTCCTACCATCCCTTCCCCAATCTCCAAAGGGCTGAAACCTGAATATACATATTTCGTGTGTGTTTTTCAGAGTAATAGTTGGCTTCCGCCATGGCTACGATACCCGGTGAGCCTCCCCTTTCTACTTTCCACTGCTCTCACTTTTCTTCTAACTAGACCCAGTAATCGTCAAACACCAAGGCAAGCGTCACGAAGTCGATCTCGACCCGACTGCCAACGGAGAGATCTTCAAATTCCAACTCTATTCTCTCACAGGAGTTGAACCGGAACGTCAGAAGGTTCTCGTGAAGGGCGGCCAGCTGAAGGATGACACCGAACTTTCAACCCTCAACGCAAAGCCTGGGCAAACATTCATGATGCTGGGAACGCCAAGCTCCAGCGATGCCGCTGTAGCCCTAGCGAAGCCTAAAGAAGCCATAAGGTTCATCGAGGATATGACGGAAGCGGAAGCTGCAAGAGCTGATGGTGCTACTCCTGCCGGTCTACAAAACCTGGGCAACACTTGCTACCTAAACTCGACGCTGCAGACGTTACGAATCCTCCCAGAACTGCAGGAAGAGCTTCTGAAGTACCGACCTTCAAGCGGTGCATCAAATACCTCTAGAATGCTAGGCATGACTGCATCTGGGGACCTGACTGCTTCTCTGAAGGATCTTTACAAGCGCATGTCTGAAACGCAGGAAGGATTTCCGCCCAGAGCCTTTTTAAACACTCTGCGGAATGCATTCCCGCAGTTTGCACAGAGGGCGAAGGACGGCCACGGATATGCGCAGCAAGACGCAGAAGAGGCGTGGTCGCAGATCATCTCGCAGCTGCGCCAGAATCTCACAATCAGGGGCGAGAACGACGCGGAAACGGCCGAGATCTCCTTTGTGGACAAGTACCTCTCCGGGAGGTTCGAGTCGGTTCTTGAATGCGATGATCCTGCAGCAAAAGAAGCAGGTGAAACGGCTATGGAAACATCAGACTCTTTTCTTAAGCTAGACTGCCATATCGACAAAAGCATAAACCATTTGCGGGACGGTCTTTTAGCAAGTTTGGAGGAGAAGGTTGAGAAGCACTCGCCTACTCTCGACCAGGACACAATTTATACGAAACGTTCTAAGATCTCTCGACTACCCAAATACCTTACAGTGCATTTCGTACGCTTCTTCTGGAAGCGGGATGTACAGAAGAAGGTAAAAATTATGCGCAAAGTAACATTTCCCTCCGAGTTGGATGTTGTGGAATTTTGTACCGATGAGCTCAAGAAAAAACTCATCCCTGTTAGGGACAAGGTCCGCGAGATTCGCAAGGATGAACACGATATGGAACGAGCTCGGAAGCGTCAGAAGATCGCACATCAGCGAGAAGAGGAGCAGAAGGCTGATGCAGCGATGGTTGAGCCTGTCAAAAAAAAACAAATGGCCGAGGAAAAGGCTGAAGCAACCACCGATGTTCCTATGGATGAAACCTTCAAAACTGATGCTGAGTACGAAGCCGAGCGTGCCGCAGCAGTTCTAGCTGCAAAGCGAGAGTTGTTCAAGCTCATTGACCCCAAGCTCGCGGCGGATGATGGCTCCAACAAATCCGGACTGTACGAATTGCGCGGAGTAATTACCCACCAGGGCGCTAGCGCTGACAGCGGTCACTACACTTCGTACGTGAAGAAGCAAGGAAGGATTGTCGACGATCCCCTTGCCCCTGGCGGCAGTAGACGAGAGGATGATGGCAAATGGTGGTGGTTCAACGACGACAAGGTTTCTGAGGTTGAGGCTGAGAAGATTGAAACTCTATCAGGGGGGGGTGAGTTGTCATATACTGCGCTATTGTCTCCTATATACTAGGAAAGGAAAGGAATAACAACTTATGAGAGTGGGCTAACTAACATAAATTTCCTAGGTGAATCGCATTCTGCACTGATACTGCTCTACCGTGCAATCGATCTGCCAACTGCGGAGGAAGTTAACGAATAATTCTGCTTCTTTTGTTCAAAATAGACAAGCCTCAGCTGCATCAGTCATAATGATTACTGGCTTTCTTTCAAATTTGCGAGAGCTATTGTTTTCCTATGCTGTATTAAATTAGCTGTAACGATTTGTTTCGGCCGGGCTATCTTTATAAAGCATGGGATTAAAGAGGGATTGCGGAAAAGCTGATAGATTTATCTAGCAAACCAGAGTGCTCTTTTAATGAAAACACATTTACTTACGTCCATGGACCACTTTGGCCTTCATCTCCTCATCCTCCTCCATTCTGCTCGGCCAGCCAGCGGGAACATGAATTTCATGTTTGGTCCTACTTAGTCTGGCCCATACATTTCTTGGCATGAGTCCCACCAGAATCTATCATGAAAAAAATGAACTATTTTTCAGAAATGATTTCAAAAATAAAACAGATTTTCCAATAATAAACAGTGAAAGATAATCATTCTTCAAAAACCAGAATAATACTGAGATTGAAAAACAAATTCAATCTCATTCAGTAAGAATTTGATAACAATTATTAATAATATTTATGAAATAATAATTAATTACATTTTTATACAAGTTTATTTTTCATTCTCTTATGAAAACTACACTGTACATATATACTGTAACTAATTAATAATAATATAATTTCTTTTTCAATGCTAATCTGAAAAGTGAGATAAAGGCGGTGATAGGCTGTCGAAATTCCATATCACATGACTCGGCACAGCCTATCTCCGCAACCAAACTTGTATCCTCGTTGCACCGTAAACGCATCCAGGCACCATCACAACAGTTGATATGTGGCAGCAATGTTTCGCTCTCCAAAACTAATATCCACCACCTTCTACCGCGGTGTATATGCCCAGGGCGCCATTAAACTTCCCGCCCGCTCGCTAATACCCAATCCCTCCTCCAGCGTTTCGCCTGGTTTGAAACGTTACTTCGTCCGTGCGGCACGAGTACCACTGACCCAAAGAGAATATGTAAATCGGCGAAGATTACGCTCGTTGGTTTACGTCGCCATCTTCGGCTGTTTGGGCTATAGTATAGGAAATTCTTTGTCCGCATTCTTAGCGAATCCCGCTACCCCCGGCTCCCATGAGGATACACAACGAGTTAAGCACCTGAGGCGAGTTATGGATAGCCTAGATATGGTTAAGAAGCTGCGGGCTGATCCAGACTATGTCGAATGGGAAGCATACAGTAATTTTACGGAGGAGGAGAAGCCTCATCGACTTACGACTGGGCCTCTAAGTGGGAGTCGCAATATACCTGTGCAGGTTCGTGAGCTTATCGCGTCTATATGTTCTCTGGAGGACATGACAATGGCGTGGCTAACCGATGGTTGATATTCACAGCAAGTATTTTGGAATGAAAGAGAACACAAGGCTACAACAGTCGTACATTTTGGGATCGGGGTCAGCGGCTGGCCCTTAATAGTTCATGGAGGAGCAATCGCTACAGTGCTGGACGAATGCTTGGGACGGGTTGCCATACGCAGCTTCCCGGCTCGAACAGGTGTAACGGCCAACCTCAACATTGACTATATCAGACCCGTCAAGGCAATGGACTTCTATACAGTGACGGCAGAATACGATCCAGAGAAGAGCACAGAACGCAAAGCCATCGTTAAGGGCGAAATTCGAGATTCTGAGGGTAGATTATGTACCACAGGAAATGCCCTATTCGTGGTGCCGAAGACAGTGACGTTGAGAACTCTCGGTGATAATTTCTAAACGTCATATTAGACATCATCCAAGAACCTACTGCACATACCAAACGACTTGACTTATGGAGTTTCCCATGGGGTTGAACACTAACCTCTACCCAAACCCAAGCAATCTGCCGAACAGCCCCGATATGTTAGCAACTAGATATGCAGTTGTGGGAAATTGGATCGTAGCACTATTAGTCTCAATGTCATATCGACGTTTCCCACACGAAGACCTCCGACAGAGCGTCCTGAATTCCTCATGTTTGGACGCAGATAGGCATAAAGGTGGGCATGTCGACTCCACAACATCAACATTCTCTTTACCGAATCTTAAACCCAGCTCTTTCTTTCAACCCACGAGAGTGATAGATCCGACAGCTCGAAATGCAAGAACGGCGCAAGTTGCCCATTTCTTTCTTCTTTCTTTCTTTCTTAACAATAAAAAATACACTGCCGGAGTGAACCAAGGGCCTGCCTGCGTACCTTCTCCCAGATAAATCTTCGCTTCAGGTGGCATTTTCACTGGACATAGTGCATTTAAGATAACCATTGAACGACAACAGAACTGCCTTTTCAAGATCAGCAGAGGTCTAGTATCCAAACACCCCAGCTTGATTTATGTATGCAGCCCATAGCTCACATTAATTTTCCTCGGCATTGACAACTACGAATATCATGCTCCCTACTCTGTTAGTCGAATTAAATCAGGTACACCCACGGAGTTATCGCACATATCCTAATTTGCGGAGCGAAGCGAAGCAATATGTTAGGTGCTTTCAAAACCTGATTAGAATAGACGCCTGTAGAGGAAGCCGCAATGGCCTGAGCCGCCTGTATAGGTAGTCACCAGTCACCACCCATTAAGCAGGCAATTACAGCTTCAATTACTGCAATTGCTGCTAGACTGGCCGGCAGGACCATGAATTTCACGTTTGGTCTCATTTGGTCTGGTCTTATACATTTCTTGGCATGAGTCCTGCTGAGACTAATCATTAAAAAAACATGCAAAGTGACTATTAATCAGATCTCAAAATGAGACTATAACTTAAGAAAATGATCTCATTTAATTTCATTTAGTCTCATTCTTAGTATAAAGTTACTATTTTTAGAGATTTTAAAGTTTTTTATAGACTATTTTTAATTTTTTAAAAAGTAATAATTTTTGATAACATTTAAATAAGATTTAAAGTCATTTAAAGCAATAAAATAAATTTAAATTAAGAAGTGAAAATCATAATCTTATTTTAAAAATATAATAAGAGTAGATAGTAGATTTTACTGAGATAGTATAGAACTACTATTTAATCTTAATACTGTATAATAAGATTAATTAAATTAATAATAAAACTATTAAATATTCTGATTCTGATCTCAGATATAATTATATAATCAGTCTAATTACTGCTACTATAATACAATAAAAGACTTTTTATAAAAATATAATATAATTTATCTCTGTAAAAATTTAATTCTTTATTTATAATTTATATTAATTCTATAAATCTTCTGATTTCTTCTTTATAAATAATTAAAGAATTAACTGTAAATATTCTTTTTTTATCTATTCTGTATAAATATAGCTGTAGATTTATACAGATATAAGAAATTCTACTTCTTACAGATTCTTTACCTCTATTTCTATCTCTTATATAATTAATAGAGTTAGTAGCTCTTGACTATACACAACTATATAGACTAAAGTTCATAACTACTATTTATACCTCAGCTTAAATACTACTATATATTTAATTTTTATACTTATCTTTCTATTATAAATACTTCTAGTAGTTATTATTATATATTATATTAAGCTGTGAATCACTGAATAATTATCTATAAGTACTTATTCTTATATTTTAAGTTCTGTTAGTGTAAGAGGTCTAGACTGAATAGATCAGTATAATATATATAGATCTTATAATATAAAAGTAGAAAACATTAAAGAAGGGAAAAAGAGAAAGTATGAGAATTAGTAATCAGAGTGAATATTTATACACATACATAATAAAGCTTGAGAGTAGAAGAATAGAAATTCTGTGAGTTTTTCAGCTGAGAATCAGAGCTTCAGAGCAGAAGAATAGAAATCTATAAAGTGTAATGAAATAGTCTATATAATTGATCAGACGCAGTTAAACTGACCGTGTAACTGTGTCTGAGATTAGAATCAGAATATTTAATAGTCTTATTATCAATCTAACTGATCTCATTACACTGTTTTAAGATTAGATAGTAGTCTTATACTGTCTCAGTGAGACTTACTGTCTACTCTTATTACATTTTTCAAATCAGATCATGATTTTCACTTCTCAATTTAAATTATTTTTACTGCTTTAAATGACTTTAAATCTTATTTAAGTATTATCAAAAAGCATTACTTTTTAAAAAATTAAAAATAGTTAAAAAAAACCTTAAAATATCTAAAAATAGTAACTTTATGCTAAGAATAGAACTAAATAAAATCAAATGAAATCACTCTCTTATTTTTTCTAAGACATGATTTCATTTTCAGATCTGATATATAGTCACTTTGTATGTTGTTTTAATAATTAGTCTCAGTGAGATTCATACTAAGAAATATATGAGATCAGATTAAGTGAGATTAAATATGAAATTTATAATCTCAGTAATTATTATTATTATTATTCTTCAATTATAGATGTATATAGTCAGAGACTATGACATCTATTTGAGAACTTTTAGTTCTCAGAGTTTTTTCTATATCTATAAAGTTAAATATTATACATTTATCAATTTCAGATATATAAAATCAGAAAATTCCAGCTCAGAATATAAAAACTGTTTATAAATTACAGTATTTTAACACCTTCTAATACTTTGAAATCATTTGATAATATCATGATAAAAGAAAAGAGAATATAGTCTTAAAGATAGACATACTAAATCAATAGATAGAAAAGAATAAAAAAAAGAAAAAGTAAAGTAAAGAAAGACTATGATAAAATAAAATTACTAAAAGATAATGTATAGCTGTTTTAACAGACTATATTTAATCAATTTTCATCTCTTCATATTCAGATATTTCTGAATTTAGCTATTTTCTTATCACTGCTTGAGTTTCTGATAGAAAGTCTATTAAGTATTTAATTACTGTCTCAGTTGAGAATAAGAATCTTATATTTAATTGATTTAAATCATACTTCTTCTTTAATCTGACTCTGAGACTACTGTATAATACATAATATATTAAAATATACTTAGAATTTTCATTTACATTGCAGAATGAGCATTCTGTTGAATTAAATCTATCATCAAATCTTTATATATAAGATTTGAAATAACTATGTTCTAGTTTCAGCTAAATTATAGATGAGAATATTTTCTTTTTACATTTAATTGAACAAGATTTTCACTTAGATTTTATCTCAAATCTTGAATAATATATACTCTTCTTTTGTTTCTGCCAGCTTTCATTTCACTTATTTAAATAAGATTCTTTTATCTTTCTCTTTATAAAAGATCAGAACACTGTTTTTTGAATATATCTGCTTAATTCTGAACTCTTTTTTACTGCTGAATCAGTCAATTCATTGTCATAAATATTCATATAAGCAGAAACTTAGTGTAGATGAATTATCAGTTTTAATATTCTTCTCTTTTAAAACTTTATAATAGTATTTAATTATTATTATTATTATTATTATTCTTCAATTATAGATGTATGCAGTCAGAGACTATGACACCTACCTGAGAACCTTTAGTTCTCAGGGTTTTTCCTATATCTATAGAGTCAACTATTATACATTTATCAATTTCAGATATGTAAAATCAGAAAATTCCAGCTCAGAATACAAAAACTGTTTACAAATTGCAGTATTTCAACACCTTCTGATACTTTGAAATCATTTGAAAATATCATAACAAAGGAAAAGAGAACATAGTCTTAAAGATAGACACATTAAATAGATATATAGAAAAGAACAGAAAGAAACAAGTACAGTAAAGAGAGACTATAACAAAATAAAATTATTAAAAGATAGTATATAGCTGTTTTAACAGACTATATCTAATCAATTTCCATCTCTTCATATTCAGATACTTCTGAATTCAGTCATTTTCTTGTAACTGCTTGAGTTTCTGATAGAAAGTCTATTAAGTATTTAATTCCTGTCTCAGTTGAGAATGAGAACCTCATATTTAATTAATTTAAATCATACTTCTTCTTTAATCTGACTCTGAGACTATTGTATAATGTATAATACATTATAATATACTCAGAGTTTTCATTCACATTGCAGAATGAGCACTCTGTTGAATCAAATCTATCATTAAATCTTTGTATATAGAATTTGAGATAATCATGTTCTAGTTTCAGCTGAATTATAGATGAGAATATTTTCTTTTTACATTTAATTAAACAAGATTTTCACTTTGATTTTGTCTCAAATCTTGAATAATGTATGCTCTTCTTTTGTTTCTGCTAGCTTTCATTTCACTTGTTTAAATAAGATTCTTTTATCTTTCTCATTATAAAAGATCAGAACACTGTTTTTTGAATAGATCTGATTAATTCTGAACTCTTTTTTACAGCTGAATCAGTCAATTCATTGTCATGAATATTTATATAAGCAGGAACTCAATACAGATGAATTATCAGTTTTGATGTTCTTCTCTTTTAAATTTTCAAAACAGAGTTTAAAATCAGTTCAAGATTCATTTGATCATTATAAATCTGACTATTTCTAAGTCTTTTTAAAGCAGCTTGACTATTAGAGAATATTTATATCTCTTTCAAACTATTTTCTCTTTTATAAGATTTTATTTCAATGAGTTTGAAAGCTTTCACTATTACAAATAGTTCAGTATCAAAGACTTTAGATTCACAGTCTAAATTTCAGAAATCTGAGATAAAATTGATATTATCTTCAGTATAAGCAATGCCTGTGTCTAATCTATTCAAATTCTTATTTTTTGAGTCATCTGAGTAAATCAGAATAGAGTCTTTTATATTAATTGTAGAGATCTTTTTCAAATGCTGTTCATATTCACTCTCTTTAGATAGTTCACTTATTTGTAAGTTAATGAGAGATTTCAGCTTTTCTCTTCAGAGAGATATCTTCTCATGATCAATTTTCTCAACATTTAATACAGAAAATTGATTTTTAAGAAGTGAATATAGTCTATACAGTTGAGAGAGCATTTTCTTTAAAGCATTATTCTAATTTCAATCAAGAAATCTATTTTAATTCAGTTCATTTCCTGAGTTAACTAATGAAAATGAAGAAGAGACTCTTTCTCTGATTATATAATTTAAGCTCATCTTTATGACTCTCAGAGCATAGTTTATACAGGCTTTTTTAAATCAAATAGCAGAAGATGAGATTGAAGCATTAATTTTCATTGCTTTAATAGAAGATGATTTGAATGCTCTCAGAATTCTTCTCAAAGCTCTGTTTTATAAACTTTGAAAGAGTTCAGTGAAATTATCTTGATTATTTCATCAAACTTGAACTTCATAATCAGCTACTGAGATAATACAGGCTATGTATAACTGTCTCATAGTCTGAAAGAATAGATCTCTCTCAGTATTTAATAGTCTGATTATACTATTCAGTAGTCTCTCTGTCTTGATAATTCTTTGTTGAATATGATATTTAAAATTCAACTTAGAGTTTAATCCATACTTCTAGTTTATTTGACATTCAAACTGGGTTTAATCTCTTTATTTAAAAGAGTTAGACTTAGTTCTTTTTCATTAAATCTGGAAAAAAAGTGAATTAGCTCAGTTTTATTCATATTAAATTGAATTAGATTGATATCTACTCTAATAAAGATTTTCTTTACTGCTTTCTCAATTACTTCTAAATTCTCTTTGATTGTCTTTGAACTGTAGAGTAGATTAATATTATCTATATAACTTGAAGATCTCACTATTTTCATGTCTCTATTCTTGAATAGATATGCAGTGTATA